TAGCCCTGGCCGGTTTGGCTCAGCGGTTAGAGCGTCGGCCTGCGGTCCAGAGAGACCCGGGTTCGGTTCCCGCTAAGGGCGCGTACCCCGGTTGCAGTTTGTCCCCGGCCCTGGTTGGTCATGCAGGTGGCAGCCACTCGATGTGTCCATTTCACGTTGATGTTTCTCTCTCCCTCTCCCTCTCCCTCCCACTCTATCTGTACAAAAAATGGAAAAATGTCCTCGGGTGAGGATAAAAAAAAAAAAAAGAAATTAACGTATTCTTATACACCAATGATGAACTCACAGAAAGAGAAACTAAAAAAACAATCTCATTTACCATTGCAGCAAAAGAAATTAAGATACCTAGGAATAAACTTAACCAAAGAAGTAAAGGACCTATTTACAGAAAACTACAGGTCATTGAAAAAAGAAATAGAAGATATAAAAAAGAGGAAGCACATACCTTGTTGATGAATTGGAAGAAATAACATCATTAAAATGTCCATATCACCCAAAGCAATCTATAGATTCAATGCAATCCCCATCAAAATACCAACGACATATTTCAAAGAACTAGAACAAATACTTCAAAAGTTCATATGGAACCAAAACAGACCTCGAATAGCCACAGCAATCTTGAAAAAGAAGGACAAAGTTGGAGGGGTCACATTACCAGATTTCAGGTTATACTACAAAGCCACTGTAATCAAAACAACCTGGTACTGGCACAAGAACAGGCATATAGACCATGGAACAGAACAGAGAACCCAGAAATGGACCCAAGGCAATATGCTCAATTAATATTTGACAAAGGTGGCAAGAGCATACAGTGGAGCAAAGACAGCCTCTTTAATAAATGGTATTGGGAAAATTGGACAGCTACATGCAAAAAATGAAACTAGACCATCAACTTACACCATACACAAGAATAAACTCCAAATGGATAAAAGACTTAAATGTGACTCATGAATCCATAAAAATCCTAGAAGAAAATTTAGGCAGCAAAATTTCAGACATCATACACAGCAGAATTTTCACTGATACATTACCTAAGGCAACAGAAACAAAGGAAAAATGAACACATGGGACAACATCAAACTCAAAAGCTTCTGCACAGCAAAAGAAACAATCATCAAAATGGAAAGGCAACCAACTGTATGGGAGAGCATAATTGCCAATGATATATCAGATAAGGGGTTGATTTCCAATATATATAGAGTGCTCATACAACTCAACAAAAGGAAGACAAAGAACCCAATTAAAAATGGGCAGAGGAACTAAATAGACATCTCTCCAAACAGGACATACAAATGGCTAAGAGACATATGAAGAAATGCTCATCACTAATCATCAGAGAGATGCAAAATAAAACAACAAATAAAAACCACCTCATACCTGTCAGAATGACCGCCATCTACAAATCATCAAACAACAAGTGTTGGCGAGGGTGTGGAGAAAAGGGGGCTCTAGTACAATGCTGGTGGGAATGCAGACTGGTGCACCCACTATGGAAAACAATATGGTGTTACCTCAAAAAATTAAAAATTGAACTTCCATTTGACTCTGTGATCCCACTTCTAGGAATATAACCTAAGAAGCCTGAAACACTAATCAGAAAGAATATATGTACCCCCATGTTCATAGCAGCACCATTTACAATAGCTAAGATCTGGAAACAGCCCAAATGTCCATCAGTAGACGAATGGATAAGAAAGCTGTGGTACATATACACAATGGAGTACTATGCAGCTATAAGAAAGATCTCTTATCTTTTGAGACAACATGGAGGGACCTGGAAAGTATTATCCTAAGCAAAACAAGTCAAACAGAGAAAGACAAATATCATACAATCTCACTTATTTGTGGAATATAATGAACGTAACAGTCTGAGGAATGGGGTAGTCCCAGAGACGTGGAAGTGGGGTACAGACTGACATTCCCCAGAAGAGGGTGTGGTGGGGGAGAGATAAACCACAGAACTTATATGCATGTGTGCATGAACAATGGACATGGACAACAAAGCTGGGGACGGGGCGGGGAGGGAGGGGAAGGGGGGAATCAGTGGGGGGAAAAGGAGAAACATCTGTAACAAAAATTAATTAATTAATTAATTAAGAAAATGGATGTGGACTTGGGAAAGGTGGAGAAGATTACCTAAACATTTTTAATATTAGAAACTGCAAACAAAATAAGCTGATAAAATCCCTATTAACACTTACAAATTGTCTTCAGAAGGCTCGCTTCATGGTTTTTATTAAAATAGAGAGCCTTGGTTGGCTGCCCTTGGGTTCCTCATGCAAAACAGAAATAAGGGATTCCACTAGCTAGTCCCCATGTTGTTAAATGTACTCTCTACCCCCACCCCACCCCTAACTTCTTAATGAAGCAGGTCTCCATCCTCATAACTTGAAATAGGGTGTGACTCACTCCATACAAATCTGTCTCCTAGCACCATTTCTCATATATACCAGGTCTTCAGCCGTGTCTTAAGAATAATATATCATACACTATTAAGCTGTACATCTATCTATGCTAGGCAACCTAATAATACAATGACTGACAGGGGAAAATGTTTTTTTAATTACATGCTCAATCCATTTGTTGTATTTAAAACAGTGCAATACTTTTCATTTATCAGTGAAAGAAGTTAGAAATTAACTTCAAATAAAATCACCAAATGGCTAACAAATTTCCTTGAAAGTCACAGTCACATATAATGTGCATTCTGAAAAAGAGGAGGGGCAAGACAGGCTCCACCCACTTATGGCTTTCATTAGATACTGAACATATTCAAAGATGGAGAAAAAAGGTGACTTTCAAGAAGGAGCATGTTATTAAATGAAGCGTTCACTACACTCCTTCCTAAGAGCACCAGATGGGGACCATTTTCTAAACTAGATGTAGAACGTGGAATGTGGAATCACTCCATCCTCCTCCCCTTAAGGGCTGTCCGATGGTTAATGAAGATTTAAAAACTAAATAAAAACACCCCCCCACACCCCCCAGATCACTCCCCAGGATGGAACCCGGCGCAGCTTCAACAACCCGAATTAGTCCGTTACAGCATCATCACAGGTATGCCTGGCTTTGAAACAAAAACAAACAAACAAAAATGTTTTGAAACAACAAAACAAAAACTAGCACTGATCACTTTTCTGACAATTCACAATTACTCAAAATGAAGAAGTACTGAGAGGGGAAAGGGACCATGGCTCTGGACCTTGTGTCACATGAGTGCATGTGGGTAAGTGCAGGGCGTTTGTCATTCATGCAAAAATAAACTCTTTATTTTTTAATGATTAGTTTGATTTCAACATTGCTTTTCACACGATGCCAACACCGGCTGTGCAGAAAGGGTGCTGGAGAGATGTTGAGAGCAGCACACACCTTCTTCACTTCTGGAGGCTCCGGGCAGGCGGCATTGCTGTTAAATACATCCTTTTGACTGTTCTGTGTAGTGCAGAACACTCCACATATTTGATGGCCTTTGGGTCACAGGGCAGATTCAGCAGTCTCTGGAGTGACAGGCTTCTGTTGGTCCTTGGCAAGTTTCTCAACAGTAGAGGGCTCATCTCTGAGATCAATTTGGGTCCCAACAGCAAGAAAAGAGTCTTTGGACAGGGGTGAGTTATCTCAGGTATCCACTTGTCTTTCTCGTTTTCAGAGACTGAAAAACAGACTAGGAACACATCTGTTTGTGGATAACTCCGCAGTCGTCATGTCATCTGTCCTGGTCCTCTTGCCCTGCGGTATCAAAAAGTCCAAAAGTATATGGCTCTCCACGGATCACAACTGTGACTGCATAGCTGTCAAACACAATCAGTACATTCTCAGATGGAAATCTGTTGTGTAGGACATCAGGAGAGGTGTTTTACCAATGGCACCATCTCCCACTTCTATCCACTTTACATCTTTCAAATCCGATCAGTGATGACCTCAGCTTCTCCCTAGAGATCGTTTTATCTGCTCCCTTTACCTGATAGACACCCCCTTTCTTGGTATAACTCACTTTACTTTTATTTTTAAATTTTCTTTCTTTATTGATTTTAGAGAGAGAGGAAGGGAGAGGGAGAGAGAGATAGAAACATTGATGAGAGAGAGCATTGATTGGCCACCTCCTGCATGCCCCCCACTAGGGATCAGGCCCACAACCTGGGCATGTGCCCTGACTGGAAATCGAATTGATGACCTCTTGGTGCATGGGTCGACGCTCAATCACTGAGCCATAGTGGCTGGGCGGTATTTATTTATTTATTTATTTATCCTCACCTGAGGACATTTTTCCATTTTTTGTTCAGATAGAGTGGGAGGGAGGGAGAGAGAGAGAGAGAGAGAGAGAGAGAGAGAGAGAGAGAGAAGCATCCATGTGAAAGGGACGCATCGAGTGGCCGTCATCACACGACCCAATCATGGCTGGGACAAACTGCAACCGAGGTACGTGCCCTTAGTGGGAACCGAACCCGGGTCTCTCTGGACCTCAGGCCAACGCTCCAACTGCTGAGCCAAACCTGCCAGGGCTGGACAGTATAACTCACTTTATTTGTTTTTTTGTTGTTGTTTGGTACGTGCTCCTAGCGGGAACCGAACCCAGGACTCTCTGGTCCGCAGGCCTATGCTCCAACCGCTGAGCCAAACCGGCCAGGGCGGTATAACTCACTTTAAAAGAGAGGTTGAACCCTGGCCGGTTTGGCTCAGTGGTTGGAACGTCGGCCTGAGGTCCAGAGAGACCCGGGTTCGGTTCCCGCTAAGGGCACGTACCTCGGTTGCAGATGCTTCTCTCTCTCTCTCTCTCCCTCCCACTCTAAACAAAAAATGGAAAAATGTCCTCAGGTGAGGATTAAAAAAAAGAGAGAGAGAGAATTTGAAACTAAAACTCTGAGTTTTCTTGGGGAAAGAGAAAAAAAACTCACACTGAATCCTAATCATTTTTCAGTTTTTGGTACGTCATTTAGACTTTGAAGATGACTGGGGTGGCCATTCCCTCTTTTCTCACACAGTCTCTTCTCTCCTGTTGCCAGGGTTCGTGTGAGCCAGGATGGGCAGTTTCTGCATTACATCTTTCCTTACCAGTTCATGGACTCTCCTGAGTGGGAATCACTGCAGCCCTCTGAGGAGGGGGTGTTCCAGGTAATGGGGAGCCCCCTGGCAGTACTACCCTGCTCATCCCACTGTAACCCAGCAATTACCCCTACCCCCACCTCTCCTCTCTGACATCTGTCCTTGAAACCACTGCCAGTGTGATGCTAGGGGTGGGAGCGCTCTCCTGTGGAGAGACTACCTGGGCTCCTGGAAGAGGTGGGTAGGGTAGGGAGGTACTGACTCCTGATAGGGAGGCCATGCCACTCCTATGCCTAAAGCCCTTCCAGAAGACCCCGGTGACCACAACATATGAACCCACACTTCTTAGAGAGTAATTTAAGACCTTTAGCCGTATCTCCAGCCCCTCCCCCACACACTTTTCACTCATTCTAGCCATACTGAACTGGTAGCACTGCTCTAAACACAGCATCGTTTCACCGTGGCCGTGCCTTGGCCCCTACTGTCCCTTCTACCTGAAATGCATTTCCTCATCTCGATGAGGCTGTGGCATCTCACTTCCTACGAAGCCTGCCCAGGCTGACCTCACCAGCTTCCATCCCCACAGCCTAGTGTTCCTGCGTGTGCGCCTTTCTGTTCCTTTTACTTACGCTGCCTGGTGCTCATGCCACTCTCCGTTCTAATGACCTGCTTTCCTTTCTGTCTTCCGCACAGCGAACTCTCGGAAGTAGAAATCTGGGCTTCTCCTCCTCTCTATCTCCAGGCTCTAAAGGACAGTACCTTGAACACAGTAGATGTTCCATAAACCCTGGCTGAACTGGCTTGGCAGTGGGCAGTGGTGCCTCAGAGGACTCCATGAGGCATTCAATATACTTTCCAAGGTGGGGACCTGGCCACTTGTCCCCTCCAATCCTTAGACTTCGGTCACCTTCTTTGCAGTTCTCACTTACCGGATGGTTGACATGTAGCAGGCACTCTATATTTTATTGCCTTCTTTTATTGCCAGTCCTCTGGGCCAGATATTATTATTATCCCCCTTTTATAGACATGGAAACTAAGGCACCTAAAAAGTGGCAAAGCCAAGCTGCCTGGCTCTACTATTTTTGATCCTTTTTAAATGGGAGGTCACCAGGAGAGTAGAGTTCATGCACCATACACACACATGCACACACACATGGTTCCAGGACTCCCCTGGCCAGATAGTCTGCCCAGTAATAGTGTCCATGTGTCCGTACAACTTGTCAGGGAATGTCTCAGGCTAGCATGTGAGCCAGCCCCATAACAGACACATGTCAGGCAGCACCGCCTGTCTGGGCCCGCTTCTGTCCCACTCTGACTCTTGGCTCTGTGGGGACAGAGCCTGAAAGGCAATCCTGATCCCACTGCCAGGACCACCAGCCTTAGACCCTCCTCTGATTGGGTGCTTCCCCCCACCACACACACCCTCTCCAACCAGCCCAGCAGTCAGTCTCCTTTGAGAATTTCCCCCAGGGCTATGAGAACCTCTAGGAGGGCTGAGGCAGGTCCTGAGCCAGCAGGACCAGGCTCTGTTTCTGACAGTGATACTGAGAAACAGGTGGTGGATAAGCTGAGTGTCCTTCCCTAAGTTATGCTTGAGAGGAAGGGCTATAACCCCAGATGACCTCTCAGCCTGGAATGTGGGCACTGTCATATCCCTCCCATTTATATTTTAAGTGTGACCTCATTTGGGAGCAATGAGATCCACACATTTGCTGTGTAAAGTCCCATTTCCTCTTTGTAAATGTCAAGTGTTGTCCTAAGTTCTAGCTCCTCTTGTCCTTGCCTTTTGCAATTACATAGTCTTTGTTCACTAACGTGGAAATCCACAGTCACGGCCTGAACCATGATTCTTTTTTTTTTTTTTTTTTATCCTCACCTGAGGACATTTTTCCATTTTTTGTACAGACAGAGTGGGAGGGAGAGAGAGGAAGAGAGAGAGAGGGAAACATTGATGTGAAAGGGACACATCGAGTGGCTGCCACCCACACGACCAACCAAGGCCGGGGACAAACTGCAACCGAGGTACATGCCCTTAGCGGGAACCGAACCCGGGTCTCTCCGGACCGCAGGCGGACGCTCTAACCGCTGAGCCAAACCGGCCAGGGCTGAACCATGATTCTTATTGTGCTTACCGCAAATGAAACAACAGTTCATCACACCTCTCAATTTTACTGGACCCAAGGCCTCTTGTATATGTTACCTCGTTTAATCCATTCAACTGTTTATTTAGCTACTTGCTAAATGATTGGTAATGGGTAGATTTTAAGTACTTATTACTTTCAGAATTCTTTCTCATGAAGCAACATGCTCAGAGACATTAAGTAATTTGTCTGATGTCAGAGAGCTGGTTAAGGGCTAAAGCTGGAACTTTCAGCCACTTCTGTCTTTGATGAAGTGACTTAAAGCCCTGTCTTCAGTGCTGATGATTAGGAGGAGATGAGTAAAGAAAATGGAAGAGAGGTACTGCACAGGGGGAGGGGAGCAGAGGATACTGGGACCTCTGGTAGGCAAGGCAGCAAGTGTAAGGACAGTATAAAATCTCTAAGAAAGAATGTAAAGTTAACACTACCTTTAATTAGATAATTCACATTCAAAACTCAACGCCTGGCAATTGAGTCACCTGTCAATAAGTATTAGCTGCTATCTTCATCATCATTTCCACTATCTCCATTCAAAAGTTTTCATCATGAACTCTGCCAACCCTCTCATTGTGAAAGTATTTTAGCCACTCAGATTATTAAAAACTGTGTGATTCTATATTCTTGTCCTTGACTATTCTAAGCATGTTTCTGTTTTAACCCTAGCTCTACCATCCATCATTGTTTTAACAAGGATTTATCAAGGCCCCAATGCAAGCAGGGCCTTGATAAATTATTTATTTATCCTGCAAGTGTAATTCAGCTTTGCATCATGGGCACACAGTGAATACTCAGAAATACCTGGACGATGAAATCAATGGAGAGTGAGGTGCCCTTCGATGCTGTGCTCTGAAGACTTCCTCTTCCTGCTTGCCCTTTTTCTGACTTTAGTCATCACATCTATCTGGTTACTTGTAGTGACGAAGTCAAGAGCAATTTTATGGACCTGAATCCCAGACTAATGTCTGTCCACCTGCTGCAGCTTGGCATCCCTGATACCCAGGGAAGCTCCTCTATTAACTAAAATGCTTTCCAACTCCTTTTGCCTCCCAGTCCAATATATTATCCTTCTTCATTCTTAAAACAAGCTGTCATCACCATTCTGACCTCTTTTTAGAGCACTAGGAGTCCCCTTCTCTCTTCTCTCCCTTGAAGTCACAACAGACTCAGACCCTTCTGCAGCCATTCGTGGTATCAGCTGTGGGGCTATAGACTGTGAGAGCTGAGACAGGATGCAGGCACTGAGGCTCCCAGGAGTGAGGCCCAGCAGGTGAATGGCTGATTCCAGGGCTTCTCACTAGGATGCATGCCCCGCCCCCCATCAGTGCACACAATTAAAAGTCATTCACTGGACCTCATCCCCGCAAGGCCATGCGGGGAGGGATGCTCCTACAGGTTCTTCAATAAAGGCGCGATCATTTGCCAGGTAATCGTATGTTTCTCTCTGCTAAACATGGACACAGTTTCTAGTTTAAACTTTCACTTTCTGCTTCTGACCTCTCTCAGGTTACTCTGACTGCTGAGACCACATGCAGCTACATTTCCTGGCCCCGGAAAAGTCTCCACCTTCTTCTGGCCAAAGAGAGATATATCTCCTGCCTCTTCTCAGCCCTGCTGGGCTATGACATCTCTGAAAAGCTCTACGCTCTCAATGAAAAGCTCTTTGCCAAGTTTGGGCTGTGCTTCGACATCCGTCTCCCCAGCCTCTACCACGTCCTGGGGTCTGCTGCTTCAGATGCAGGGCCAGAGTCTGAGAAGGAGGACGAGGAAGTCCACGAGCCAGCTGCATCCCCTCCTCAGGCCATGCCCACACCTGTCCAGCAAACACCCCCTTGCTCTCCCCCGCCAGCTGCCACCAGCCCTCCTGCGCGCCTTTCCAGGGCCGGGATGTCCCGGCCAGACAGTGGCGTCCTGGGTGAGGACTCCACCAGTCTGGTGCTGGAGGATTTTGAGGAGGTGTCAGGATCAGAATCGTTCATGGATTATAGGAGTGATGGGGAGTACATGAGGTGAGGGGAGAACTAATATGGGCACAGCCACTGGTTGGAGATCCTGTGTGAGTACTCAGAAGGCAGCTGTCACACCTTCCTGCCAACAGGTGGCCTTAACTCAGCTTGTAAGGGCAAAAATAGCATTTCAGGAAGCCTGTCCTCTCAGACTGCCGGAAAGTGTCATGAACCCAACCTTGCCTATAGCAACTCACTGCGCTGCAGGCACGAGGGGATTTCTAACTCGTTCCTTATTCAGTGTGATTGCATTTTGGAAAGTGGGCTGGTTGACATTCTGAGCAAGCAGACAGTTTGCTAAATATTTTGCAAGACTATGCTGATAGCTAAAGGGGATTTTATTTGTAGCATGCATTTTGTGCTGTTAGGTTTCTATGATACCCCTATCAGGTTAAAAAAAGTTCTATTCCTAATTTGCTAAAAGCATTTTTTTCTTTATTGATTTTTTTTTTTAAGAGAGAGAGGAAGGGAGAGGGAGAGAGAGATAGAAATATCAATGAGAGAAAACATCGATTGGCCGCCTCCTGCATGCCCCCCACTGGTGATTTGGCCCACAACCTGGGCATGTGCCCTGCCTGGGAATCAAACCCATTGGGTCAATGCTCAATCACTGAGCCACACTGGCTGGGCACTAAAAGCATTTTTTAAGATCATGAATGAGTATTGAATTTTATCCAATGATTTTCTGCCTTTATTGAGACTATTTTTTTCTCATTTATCCTATTAATGAGTTACATTAATAGATATGCAAATGTTGAACTTGCATCCCTGGAACAAATCCAATTTTATGATGTTGCATTTTCCTCTTTATGTATTTCTGAACTTGGTTTGCAAATATTTTGTTTAGGATTTTTGCATCTAGGTATCTTGTAATATCATTGTCAGGTTTTAATATCAAGGTTATGCTGATGTAAAAGGATCAGGGAAGTATTCTTTATCTCCTTTTTTTTTTTCCTCTGGAAGAGATCTTTAAACCAAAACAGTTTTATAACTCTTGATTCTTATTCTGCTCACCTTACCATCTGCTCTCTCTGCCTTCTTCTTCACTCAGTTGCCCACGACCCAAACCTTGGAGTCTTTCCATTAGTTATGTCTTTGACATATATCCTGAATTCAACTCACCACTTCCACGGTCACTAATTCCAAGACAGCATTATTTCATACTTAGACTCACTTCAATAGACTTATAATGGGTCTCCTGATTTCCCCTGTCCCTCCTCCCCATAATCTATTTCACACACAGCAATGTGGTCATTTAAACATGTATATGATCTTATCATATACATGTTTAAATTCTATTGCTCAAAATTTCAAATGACTTCCTACTACACTTAGAATAAATCCATATTTCTTACTTTGTGATATTAGCCAGGGTAAGCTTATTATGACTTAACAGCATCAAGGTTTATTTCTCTTAAAGTGTACTGTGAATTCTGTATGACTCATCTGGGCAACCTTCTCCATGATTCGACTTACTTTGACTTTTTGTCTCTGTCACCTGAAGAAAAAAAAAATCTTGATATTTCTGTGCCAGCTCTTTAATGCTTTGGCCCAGAAATGATACAGATCACTTACGGCCACAGTCGTTGACTACAGCAAATCACATGGACACATTCAATAATCAACTTTGTGCTTTGTTCATGAAAGGGACTGGGAAATGCACGGGAGCAAAGGAGTGTTTGACGAGTACTACCCATCCAGCTACCTATGACCTATAGGCCCTACTGCCTGTCTCTCCAACCATGTTTCATTGTGCTCTTATTCTCACTCATCATGTTCAGCCGCACTAGTCTTCCTGGTGTTCCTTACTCAAACCTAGCTTCTTTCTATATGAGGACATTTACTCTTGTCTTTTTCTCTCTGATACATTTCACTCATTCCATCTCCTGGCTGACTTTTTGTCATATAGTTCTCGGCTCAAATGTCACCATCCCAGCTAAGACACTCACCTCACCTCACCATCACCCTCTGTCCCCTTGCCCTGCATGGACTGTTTTCAAGTCCTATTTTCTCCCTCTCCTTTTAGGATTCCAATAATGTGCTTGGTAGAACTTTTCAATGTGTCTCACATAACTCTTATGTTCTTTTGTCATTTTTTTCTGAAATTATTCTGTGTATTTATTTTCTTTCTTTCATGTACATTTCACAATAGAAGGCCATGTCAGTCCTGAGAAATTTAAAAGCTCTCTTGTCAACCCTTGAGGGCTGTTGTGCAGAATAAATCAAGCAATAAACAAACAACAGGAAAGCTCATCCTGCATTGTAAGTTGAAACTCAGCATTACCTGGGGTGTGGTGCCACCTTTCTAGCTGGAGGACCACTCAAGGAGGAACGTTATTACTCACACATAATACACAGCAGAGGGTCCTCAGGATGGGACCTCTTTTAATGTGTGTGTGTGTCTGTCTGATTATTTTTATTTTGTATTATTATGTTTTAAATAGTCTTATTGATATATAGTTCAGATACCATACAATTTGCCCATTTAAAGTATACAACTCATTGTTTTTTAGTATATTCATAGGGATGTGCCACTATTACTACAATCTAATTTTAGGACATTTTTGTTTGCCCCAAAAGAAACTCAGCATATATTAGCTATCACATCCAATCGCTACCCGTCTCCCAACCCTAAGCAATAACTGATTAACGTCCAGACAAAGATGATTTTTTTATCCTCACCCGAGGACATTTTTCGATACTTTGTTCAGATAGAGTGGGAGGGAGAGAGAGAGAAACATCAATGTGAAAGGGACACATCAAGTGGTCGCCACCCACATGACCCAACCAGGGCCGGGAACAAACTACAACGGAGGTGGGAACTGAACCCAGGTCTCTCAGCCACAGGCCAATGCTCTAACCGCTGAGTCAAATGGGCCAGGGTCAGACAAAGATGATTTTTAATAAAATCAAGCCTTTTCCATTGTGAAATCGTGTTTTTCTGATATGGAACCTTGAAAATGAGCCCGTTGAATGATTATCAGTGTCTGGGTTTCCTGCTGTGTAGTTATTGCAGTCAGTGGCCCATCTGTAACTCTTAGACTCCATCTCGGAAAAGTTCCTTAGATAATTGCCAGGAGTTGGGATTGGGGAGCGTATGAGTTTTCTGTGGCTGCTGTAACAAAGTACCACCAACCGGTAGCTTGTGGGATTGTTTTTAAAAGGACCAGACCTAACATGGTAGAAGTTAGGCTTTTATTAATCTACTGGTATATGTAATGGCAAAAATCATTTGAATCTGAAAACGTTTTTAGATAAATGTGTGGATTTTAAAAATTAACCACCATAGCATCTTTATATATTGCAAAAATAGCATTACAAATATGTACTTAAAAGCATTGTATTTATTCAGTCTACAGAAAATTCTTGACATGATATGGATTTGTTAACCTCTTACAGAATCCCCACACTAGAGGTCCACACATGTGAAAAGAAATCTTTGCGTTATAGCTTTATATTTTCAGCAGTAAAGCCTGACATATCGTCAGATTAGCTCTACGGAAAGAACTACTTTCATTTCATGAACACTAAATATCCACTGCTGTAAAACCACATGTTTTACTGCTAGACACCACATGCTTCACTAGGTGAGTCATTCGTGGTATCAGCCCTGAGGGAACTCGAGATCTAGAAAAGGGGAGATGTGAGTGGTAGTCCCCACCCCACGCCACCCCGAGGCCTTATTAAGTCAAGCTCTTGGACACTGACCCTGCTAAGAATTCATCTTTTACCAGAAGACTCCTCAGTCTCCTGTGTAAATTGGCTTATTGTGGCCCATAAATAGTTTAAGATGAAGCTGAATCCCTGACACATGTACAGATAAGTACTGTGTTAGTCCATTGTGGGAAATCACGACTTGAGCGGTTGAAACCAGTAAATGACCTACAGACTTCCTATTTCTGGGATCAGAAACGGTTCATGGAGAAACTAACTTGAACTATTTGGCAAGGCAGAAGCAATTGAAATGAAAGAAAAACCGTAAGTCAAAGCCCTGAAGGGACAAGGAAGGCAGGCCTGGAGGAGAAGAGAACCGATGGCTCCTAGTGAGCAGCTGCGGAGTCCGAGCTCTGGTCAAAGGCAGTGGGCAGTACTCAGGGAAACGGTGCACCGGGCCAGTGCCGAGGGAGCTTGCTTCAGAGCCTCCCACAGAGCCTGGCAGAGCACAGCTGTTTCAGAAATGTTCATGTTCTAAACAGCTTGAGGAGAGAGAACAAAGCCACGAAAACAGTTGAGACTATTGAAATGGTGAGCGGGGTTGTGAGGTTACCAAAGGCCGGAACATATGATGACAATGGGAACACAGAGGCAGACACCTAGGGGAGACCCTGGGGAAAATTGCCTGGAAAGGGGTGTCTTAGCACTCTGTACTTTCTTCCCTTTATAGTCTTCCTTTTTAAAATCCTCACCCAAGGATATGTTTTCGTTGATTTTTAGAGAGAGAGGAAAGGACAGAGAGAAACAGATGTGATAGAAACATAGGTTGCTTGTTGTACACTCTCCAACCCGGGATCGAACCCACACCTAGGTATGTGCCCTGACCAGGAATTGAACCCCCAAACCTTTTGGTGTATGGGTTGATGTTCCAACTAACTCAACCACTTGTCCAGGGCATCCCTTTATATTCTTGATACCCTGGTTTCCTGTAAACTCCCCCATACATAATTTTTTTTAAATTATTTTTTCTTTATTGATTTTAGAGAGAGGAAGGGAAAGGAAGAGAGAGATAGAAATATCGATGAGAGAGAACATCGATTGGCCACCTCCTGCATGTCCCCCACTGGGGATTTGGCCCACAACCTGGGCATACACCCTGACCAGGGATCAAACCAGCGACCTTTTGGTGCACGGGTCGATGCTCAACCCCTGAGCCACACCAGCCAGACTAAATAATTTTTTTAATTAAAAATTTTTTTTAATTTACAGATTTGAGAGAGACAGAGAAAATTGATTTGTTGTTCCACTTATGCATTCATTGGTTGCTTCCTGTATGTGGGATGAAACTTGCAACCTTGGCGTGTGGGAACAATGCTCTAACCAACCCAGAAATCTAGCCAGTGCCCCCACAAATCTTGATAACTGAAGACATGTGACTTTTACTTGTCATTGCATTTATACGCCAACATGTGTCCCCTGCTCAGAAATTTCCCTGGAGATCATGAGATTTTATTTCACTTTCAGTTCATTCCTCTGATGTGATCCTTCCCAAGAATCCTCTTTTGCATAGCACATGATTTCCACTTGGCCGCTTACAGATGCTCAATAACCCAGACTTGCCCTCTACTTCTTTTTTTTAATTGATTTTTTTAGAGAAAAAAGGGAGACACAGAGAGAGAGAGAGAAACATCAATTTGTTGTTTCACTTAGTTAAGCATTCATTGGTTGCTTCTTGTATGTGTCCTGATGGGAGATCAAACCCTCA